CCCACCCAGCCTCCCTGTGGTCACTGCCGATGAGCTGGGTGAGCCCCGTCAGCTGCTCCAGCCGCCAACCTGCTGAGACCTGTTGAGGGCGGCCCCAGCCCCTCCCCTGGCAGCCGGGACCTCTGAGGGCCAGGCCACTGGGTCAGGCCAGTCACGCTGGCGGAGGGCACCTCTCTGGCACCTTCTGTGCCAAGTGCGCCATGGAAGGGGCAGGGCGGACTGAGCGAGTCTCCGGGGGACCCAGTGTGGCTCCGGCTTGTCACTCACTGAACACTGCGGCCTCCCCCACAAGCTGGCGCCTGCCCGCCGGAGGGAAACTGCCCGGAGGACGGTCCTCATCTCTACCCGACAGAGCGGGCCGTCGGGCGCAGAGCGGGCGGGGCCTGTCTCAGGCCTAAAGCCAGTAACACAGAGAACCAGGACCGGAGCCCGGGAGTGACTGCAGACCCGTGTGCGGAGTCACCTCCAAGGCTCTCCCAGACACCCCGGTCCCCTCCCTCTCCCTCTTCACTAGCGGGAAGGCGGCGAGTCCAGCACAGGGAAAGATGCTAAGGATTATGTACCTGAAAGTCAAATAATCTTTTGCCAAACTGCATCCTTTCTTTAACGTACGGAACAGTATAGTCAAAGCATCCTTGAGCCAATCCCAGCATCTGAGGGAAGAAAAGATGTTGTTCTTATGTTGTTACAGAGCCCGAACCTGGGCAGGGTCAGTGTGGCTACTCCGGGCGTCAGACTCCCGCCCAGGGCGAGTGCAGAGCCGGAGTCGAGAACTCACGGAGCAGGTGGGAACACCGCCTGCTCACACCCTTGAGGACCGCCCAGGCCGTGGGGCCAGCCCCGCTGCAGGTCCTCCTTGCGAACCACGCTCCGCATCGGCTGAATGGTCCCAGCTTAGAAATGGTCCCTGAATTCAACGTTACGTCGTCATGAAGTCACATCTAACCACGGGAATGCCATGCAGGCTCAGAAAGAGGGACAGAGAATCGGCAGGTTAAGCTTTGGGGGAAATGACCACAAACTTCAATATTTCCTTCGAACACGTCACCTTTCCTCTAGCCGTTTATTTTGAACTTCCTGGAGAACAGAATACCGTGCTAAAAATTAAAAGACGAAAACAAAGGAGCAGAACTCCAACAGAACAAAGGGAGTGTGGCCGGGCCCCTGCACTCTGGCTCTGAGCTCAGACGGTGCCTTTCACCCTGAATGGAAGTTGTTTCACCTTAGAATAGTTTTCTATCGGCGTGAAAACTGAAATAGTCGCTGTCCACTAAAACCGGCCTCCCTCTGAAATGCTTTCACTGTAAACCCTGAAAGTCTAAGTCTCTGCGGCTGCAGAGGGTCGAGGACGGGCACCTTCAGACCCGCTGCCTAGGCCTCGGTCCCTACGAGGGGCCGCTGCTCCCTGACCTTAACTTCCGGTCGGGCTGTAAGGCCACC